CAAGCAAATGGAGCATTTTTGAAAAAAGTCAATTGGTATACCACTATATCCTGGAGCTTTGCCCTTTTTTATACCTGAAATAGCAGCAGTAATTTCATCATAACTAATGTCTCTATCTAAATCATTCGTATTTACAGTTGTATCTATCAAATCATCGGTGATTGAGTCAATAAAGTCTATTATGCTTTCAATAAAGGATTGTTCATCAGGCTATTAAAGTGGCTTTCAAAATGTCTTATCCACTCAGCAGGTGTAATAACTGGGTTTGTGAATTGTCGTTTTTCCTTTAGAATTGACCAGAATTGTTTGTTGTCCCTATCAAGAAGGCTCTCCTGAAGTTTTCCCGTTTTCATATTGAGAGCACGTGTACATTTCAGGTGACACAAATGTTTGTATGATTTCCATGCCTCGATATAGGTGAGGCGGTCGCGTGTACAGTTAGTTGCATGAAATGCACGAAGTTTACGGCGTGCGTCACACCTGGCTTGGTAGCATTCCGCGTCCCACCAGTTATGTCCCTTGTTGACTGTGGATACTGACGATTTCTTGAAGTCCTTTGAACATGACAGTAACAAGTCGTGGAACTTTTCAGCCACTTCCTCGACACGCCCACATGCTGCTATTGTTGTTATTTCTTGGGTAGAATGTTCCGATATTAAATTCCAATTTTCAGAGTATTTTACCATATTCTTCTCGTTCCAGACATATCTTGACTTTTTAGATAATGTATCGTTGGTCAACTTAGGTGATCTATATCCCTTGAACAAGACAGAGTATGTGATAGGAAATTGTGTGGATTCAACTTCGTTACAAATAAATCTGTTAAAGAAATGGACAGATTTTTCAGTCAAAATGACTGAAATATTTACACATTTTTATAAATTGCCTGAGAGAAACACATTTTACAAATTGACTGTACACGCTTACAAAAAAAAAAGACTTTTGAAAACAACGTCTATCGCGCATCGAAGAATTTCCCAACCAAGACGCAGAGGAACAAGAATGAATCTGTTCAATGCTACAGCAAATGAAGGAAAACAAAAGGCAAATATCATAATTATAACCTACCAAATTTACGTGTATAATTTTAGGCAGCTTCCTTGTTCGAGGAATGTATCCGTGAATATCCACACAAAGGAACAATATCCCACACGTCTGCAGCTGTACTAGGAAACTTATTCGGTGAAACGTGTCTCTGTAACAATCAAATGTTTAAAAATATATATCGTCTCGGGATATTATGACCCGTGTTCATTTCTCAACTGATCACTTAGATTGTTTCAGGTGTTTCACAAAGGTGTCAAGTCTCAGAGGTCGGCTGAGAAAGCCCACGTGACAACTATTTTCATAACGTCCACGGTTCCTAAAAAAATCCATTAGTTAGATAACAATGAGCAATCAATCAACGTATCATCGGTTAACCCTTTGAACAAAGTGTGTTGTTTTTACATCGGCACTTCACGCCATGATATGAGTGTATGCCCTTTGTTTTAGTAAACCTAGACATGTAAACACTCACTTTTGACATATCAACTGTGCAAGGGAACAGTGATTAATCAATCAACGTATTTTCTGTTATTCCTTTGATGACAAGGAACGATCCGTTGATTCACTAAAAAATAAATCAACTCATCATTCATCTCTTGCTGGGCTGCTAGGTTATGGGCCGGAAGAGCGAAACCTAGCCATAATCAACTCTAAAATCTCTTCGCTTTCGTGAAGCTACAGTAAACTGGTGACGCTACAGTAAACACGGGATATTGCTATACCGGGACTCTCAAATTACAAGAAAAACACAGAAATGCGTATACCGTAATTACAGTAGTAATTTATCTATACGTGCATATGACATAACACACATTTCACCTCACTTCAAACCTGGATTTAGATTGAATAATTACCCCAGACACAATAAATGCCAAATGGGAACCTTTGTCAGGTATTCTGAGTGGTGCTACCACTAAGTATACCTGTTATAAATTCATTAACTGAGCATCAAGTGAATGACGATAAATACACAAGTGTAGGGTTATACCAGAAAACGTGGATGACAACAAGGGAGTAGCAATCGTATTATCGACGCAATCCGAAATCCGAAAATGCTTTCACTGCATGGATGCTTTTTTAGGATTAAACTATAACCATCTAGGGTATTTCCAAATGACGACATCCGATGAGCTCCGACGTTCTTTTTGTCTGTTTGTTTAGGCTGAAGAAATTAATTAACATGGCCCTTTTTTGAAATCTTTATAGATCACGGTTAACCAATCAGTGTTCCAAAATGCGTAAAACAAATATTGCCTCCTAGTTTATTTAGCTGTCCTTGCAGACGGTAGCCCAGTATCTTGTCACGCTCAGTTGCGTTGCGGATCATCCGGGTACTCACAGGGAAAAAACAATAACGAAGGCAACAACCAGTCCCAGAGAACTGCTTTAGATCAGTGCCCCTTTAACGCCGTTTGTGTTGCAGTTGCGAGCACTAAGACCTGAATTAAATTATCAATACTGGATGCAAAGGCGTCGTCCAGAAGTGTAAACTGTAATTCCGCTCAGTGTAAACGAGCCCTGTAGGGGTGAAAACTGTAATTCCGCTAAGTGTAAACGAGCCCTGTAGGGGTGAAAACTGTAATTCCGCGAGGTGTAAACGAGCCCTGTAGGGGTGAAAACTGTAATTCCGCTAAGTGTAAACGAACCCTGAAGGGGTGAAAACTGTAATTCCGCGAGGTGTAAACGAGCCCTGTAGGGGTGAAAACTGTAATTCCGCGAGGTGTAAACGAGCCCTGAAGGGTGTAAACTGTAATTCCGCGAGGTGTAAACGAGCCCTGAAGGGTATAAATTATTATTACTTGCCCGTGAAGAGAGCACCCGTTTAATAAACATACAACTGTATTACACATTGTGTAATACCAAAACGCGTGCTTATGTACTCTCGGAACACGTTTCACGAACAAATATTGAAAGCTCTCAACATCCCTTGGCTTATTCAACGACATTGCATGTGGAGATGATAGATCACTGAGAGGAGTTTATGCACACTGGATGACCCCAGCAACCTTGTTGCTAGGCTGACGTCACATGGCATTGTTTCGCCGAAGGATCTTGCAACAAAATTCCACAATTACGTCATCGGGTATTGTGACGTGATTGTAAACTTTGAGGTGCAAGGCCCCGTTCCAGAAGGCGATCGTACGGTAGCGCAACGACAGTCGTTGGTCTAAGTTAAAGTATACGAGTTGCGATAACCTTAACGCTACGATAATTTTGTGGGACGAACGCCTGAATTCTAAAGGTGGACCATTGTATGATATTAAATTCATACGTTTCAACTTTTGACGAGTTTGAAGTATTATTCTGTTAAACTCAATTGGATTATGCCATGGATCGTGTAGGTGTCAGCCTATTTACACTCAACAGTATAATTCTAAAAACATTATAAATGACAAGTAATAAATAAAATACTAAACTCGCTCTCGTGTAAAACCAATTTTATGAAACTCGTGAAAAGTTGTGGTATCTGACTCGCTTTCGCTCGTCAGATACCAGAACTATTCACTCGTTTCATAAAATTGGTATTACACGGGAGCTCGTTTAGTATTCTATATTTATCCTGCAGTGAATACACACTGCCAGAAAGGTGGTCAAATGTAATAAATGTTATCATTGGGACAACACGTTCTTTGTAAAGAACAGATTTTAGTATTTTTGGGGTTGAGGCCCATCCGGGATTAGAACCCACACTGCCAATCGCCAGCACACAAGTCAGCGACCTGACCCACTCAGCTCTGAACACACATATGCAGTGTGAACTGAAGGCGGGGACTGTCGGCCAAGCCACAATAGGCTGTACAGAGTTTCGCCAGAAGTATAAGTCTTCGGTTCAAATGTTTCTATGTGTACAAAATGTATAGTAAATGTCTCCACCTCTTCTGGCGTCCGTACCACATCCATCAGACACGTATTGATATAATAATAATTGAAATACGGTTCAAAGCAGCCTCAATGCAATGTAAACAGCCACTGTAGGACGTGTTATCTTGCTGGGGTTTAAACGGTGGACAACTATACTGCTGGTGTTTAAGTGCAGGAGAAAACACGCCTCCGAGATTTTGTTTGACAATGTAAACACGAGGGAGACGGATTTCCCGACATTTTCAACCCAAACCGAGGGATAGTGTTTTCTCTGGCTTATAAACCGTCAAAAGGGTTTAATTTAAACAAAATATCCAGTTTACGTTTGGCGCGTTATAACGAGACGATTGTAAAGCCTGTTCAAGTATACGACTGTTGGTAAAAGCAGTCGCTGCACGAGAAATGGTTGAAAATGTAAAACTGCGAACCAGAACAGTGTTTTATCCAACCTATGAATCGTCTAAATGTAAGAAATACCAGAAAAATACGAAAACATCGGGATATCTTTTAGTGAAACAATACAGTGTGTAGCGATATAGATGGAATTCGATCAAAGCGTGCGAGAGAAAGACCACGTGCAACATGCAGCACGAACTGAAGACATGACAAGTAAAATTGAATAACTTTTCATCACCTGCCCCGGTGGCTCATCGGAAAACAGTGGGTTACAAAACTAAACATGATATGTGAGGCGAAACTGTTACGGTGTACTCCATCTTTATCTCTTTAAAAAAAAAGATCCATCTGATCATATTTTTGACAACTATTTAGCTGTTAAACCAAACCATATGATCGGCCTCCAATTTTAAACCCCTGTAGGTCCGGGTTAGAATAGATCTTCAGCAACCCATATGCTTGTCGTAAAAGGTGACTTTGCTTGTCGTAAGAGGGGACTAACGGGGTCGGTTGGTCAGGCTCGCTGACGTGGTTGATGCATGTCATCATATCCCAATTGCGTAGATCGATGCTCATGATGTCAATCACTGGATTGTCTGGTCCAGACTCGATTATTTACAGACCGCCGTCATATAGCTGGAATATTGCTGAGTGCGGCGTTAAACAACAAAGACAAAAAATATAGTAAAAATAAATTAACTTATGTAATATGTTTATTTGCCATATTTTGTTTTAAAATAAAATGAAATCATGCTTCAACACCCGAAAACAAATGCACACGTCTAAAGACAGTGTTTCACTAAAATGTAAGCATAATATTTTGGCTTTACAACACTTAAAAGAGGCCAGTGTTAATTTATATGTTGATCAGTTGTGTCATGGACGTCGTCAATTAAATGCAAGAAGCTACATACAACTCTGTAGTTGATGATGATGATTTATGATATTGTGAAGATATTCTGAAGTTGATATTCTGATTGATATTCTGAAGTTGTCTAATACATAAGAGCGATCAGTTTCAGGAACTCCTCATAGTCGAGCTGATGGTCTCCGTCTTTGTCAACCCGAGCTATGAGTCGCTTCGCTTTATCCTCAGCTAGTGGCGTGTCCCCAGTCGTCAGAATCCGTGACAATTCATCTGCTGATAAGAGGCCATCCTTGTTTGTGTCTGCCAATGTGAAGAGGCGTCTCAGGTTGGCGCATCTGGAATAACAGCAGAATAGTTTAAAATTATGAGGTAACATTTGTAGTTCGTAGACGGATGGACCGCCTCCGTTCCCGCGTCGTACCAAAAGACGTTAAAATATGGTACTTGTCACCCTGTCTGGCGCTCGACATTAAGGGGCTAAATGGATTGGTCGGCTCGGACTAGTACAGTGTCACACACACACACACACACACACACACACACACACACACACACACACACACGTTGCTATACAAGTGCAATAATCTTGGACGCGACGTTAAACCCAATTTCAGACCACCCCGTTGTGGGATGGCGGTGATACTGACGAATTGTGATTGACATAAATAAATACATTTTGATGATGTAATTATTATATATATTTATTTACCAATAACATAATTACATTTCCTCACCTTTCCCCGTATTTTAATTCCTAGAGGTCCCAGGTTTGGCGTGTGGTGAGTAACAATTTGACTTTTCCGCTTCAAACATTGTGTGATTATACCATAACCTGGTAGCGTCATGCGAGACGGAAGATAACGTGATTCAAATGCCTGATGAAATGTTGATAAACCAGCACTTACTTCCTTTTTGTGGGCGTTATAGTTGGCATCGCCACAAGGAGCTCACTAACACTGTAGGGGAACACTTACTTCCTCTCTGTGGGTCCTATATGGTTGGCATGGCGACAAGGAGCTCACTAACACGGTAGGGGAACACTTACTTCCTCTCTGTGGACCCATGGTTGGCATGGCGACAAGGAGCTCACTGACACGGTAGGGGAACACTTACTTCCTCTCTGTGGACCCATGGTTGGCATGGCGACAAGGAGCTCACTGACACTGTAAGAGAGAACTTACATCCTCTCTGTGGGCGCTATGGTTACACTAACACTGTGGGGGAACACTTATTACCTCTCTGTGGGCGCTATTGTTGGCATGGCGACAATGAACTCACTAACACTGTAAGGGAACGATTCCTTCTTCTCTGTGGGCGCTATGGTTGGCATGGCGACCATGAACTCACTAACACTGTAAGGGAACGATTACTTCCTCTCTGTGGGCGCTATGGTTGGCATGGCGACAAGGAGCTCACTAACACTGTAGGGGAACCCTTACTTCCTCTCTGTGGGCGCTATGGTTGGCATGGCGACAAGGATCTCACTAACACTGTAGGAGGGTACTTACTTCCTCTCTGTGGTCGCTATGGTTGGCATGGCGATCAAAAACTCACTAACAATGTAGGAGGGTACTTACTTCCTCTCTGTGGGCGCTATGGTTTGCATGGCGACAAGGAGCTCACTAACACTGTAGGGGAACACTTACTTCCTCTCTGTGGGTCCTATACGGTTGGCATGGCGACAAGGAGCTCACTAACACTGTAGGGGAACACTTATTTCCTTTCTGTGGGCGCTATGGTTGGCATGGCGACAAGGAGCTCACTAACACTGTAGGGGAACACTTATTACCTCTCTGTGGGCGCAATGGTTGGCATGGCCACAAAAAACTCACTAACACTTTAGGGGAACACTTTCTTCCTCTCCGTGGGCGCTGTCGTTGCATGGCCACAAAAAAACTCACTAACACTGTAGGGGGGTACTTACTTCCTCTCTGTGGTCGCTATGGTTGGCATGGCGAACAAGAACTTACTAACACTGTAGGAGGGTACTTACTTCCTCTATTTGGGCGCTATGGTTGGCATGGCGACCAGGAACTCACTAACACTGTAGGAGGGTACTTACTTCCTCTCTGTGGTCGCTATGGTTGGCATGGCGATCAAGAACTTACTAACACTGTAGGAGGGTACTTACTTCCTCTATTTGGGCGCTATGGTTGGCATGGCGACCAGGAACTCACTAACGCTGTAGGAGGGTACTTACTTCCTCTCTGTGGTCGCTATGGTTGGCATGGCGATCAAGAACTTACTAACACTGTAGGAGGGTACTTACTTCCTCTCTTTGGGCTCGATTTTTGGCATGGCAGCCAGAAACTCGTCCAAGGTCACCTTCAAGTTCTTGTCTGTGTCCAACGAAGTGAACAGGGACTGTAGTCAGAAGATATTTCAGTGAACCACAAGTTTGTATCCTTGGTACGACGAGTGAGTGAGTGAGGGACATACTATTTGATATTCTCGACTGATATTATGTTTGGAGACTGAATAGGGTTTTTTTCAGCTACAGCTGCAAAACCAGATATATTTGTTTTACAATTAAAACTATGAGCTGAAATGTTGTTTTTTCAAAAAACATCTTACAACAATGTTTTTATTTTCTGTAGCAGAAAATTACTTTTTTCAACAGTCTTAACCATGATATTTTTCAGGCGACTTATTTTTTCGATAAACTCCCACCCTCCTCGAATTGTTTCGTTTGATTGGTCGGTAAAATGTTTTGAAAATCTAGAGCGGGTAACTTGAGATCGCGAGAACTACGAAGGAGGATCCAGGAGTTAGTGTAGGTTTACCGAAATGCGAGGAGAGCAGAGATCAGTAAAAAATAATAAAACAACTTTATGTCAAAATGTCAAAATATCACAAAATAACAAAAGACACGAAAAAATGAAAAGGGAAAAAATAGACATAATTAAGAAGCCTTTGGCATATGAAATAGAGCACTTAATTGTAGAGCAAGAATCAAGTGAGTGAGTGAGTAAGGTTAAACGCCGCTTTTAACATTATTCCAGTTATATCACGGCGTGTCAGCTTAAAATGGGAGGAAAGCCCGAAGTGATGCAGGTCTCAGACGTTTACGACTTCGGTGAAACCCACGAGTACGGGTATGGCGCTGACAAACCTAGAAACATAATCGGGGCGAATCGGGATTCGAATCCACAATCATAGGTTTCTGGCGTGCCTAAGGGGCGCAACTCTGCACAGCGAATCGCGGCGCCTCAGACTACTGGGCCACCTGTGCCCCCCCCCCCCCCCCCCCCAAGAATCAAGAGAATACCTGAAAAACGAACTTGATGGCACAGAACAGTGACGACTGGGATGACTCTATTCTAATGCGGCGGTCGGGTAGCCTAGTGGTTTAGCGTTCGATCGTCACGCCGAAAACCCGGGTTCGATTCCCAACATGTGTGAAGCCCATTTCTGGTGTCCCCGCCGTGATATTGCTGGAATATTGCTAAAAGCGGTGTAAAATCAAACTCACTCGCTCACTGTTCTGATTATGTTCTGATGATGTTCTGGTGATGTTCTGATGATGAGGTTTTGTTTATGTAACATCCAGCTATGACACTTATGAAAATGAGGGAGATAGTGATATTGTAAAAAACCATTGTGTCGACGTGCAAGCCATTGTTTTTTGTGTCTACAAAATTGTTAACCCCCTGTTACATGTGAACAAAATTGCTGACCCCACCATCTCCTCACCCCATTATTAATTATCAGCATCCCTTATTTCGAATGTACCGATATCGCTGACCTATTATTAACCTAACCAAATATCCGGTACCGACTGCTTCACTATGTAATATATTAAATTGAGAATTCGAGATAAAAAATCAAAGCGCTACTTGGTCGGTCGGGTAGCCTTGTGGTTAAAGCGTTCGCTCGTCACGCCGAAGACCGGGGTTCGATTCCCGACATGGGTACAATGTGTGAAGCCCGATTCTGGTGTCCCCCGCCGTGATATTGCTGGCATATTGCTAAAAGTGTCGTAAAACCATACTCACTCACTCAGTCATAGCGCTATATCTGGAAACCTCGGGGGTTTGAACTATAATCGGCTTGTGTTGATATATTTCATGTCCAAAGACAAATGTGAGGTTCACTTATTATTCAATGAGAGAGAGCAAGGAAATTATCATCAACAGATGCAGCGCGAACGCGGAATAAACAGAGAAGGGTTTACCTGTATCTTAGATTGATCAAGCTTGTAACCGAGAACTTCACAAAGGACAGACAACTCTGTAAGGTTCAGCCAGCCGTCGCCATTGGTGTCAACTCGGAGAAACAGTTTAGTATAACGTTCTCTCTCGCTCTGTGTCAGGTGGGCCATTGTCGACACCAGGGGCCACGGTGGTATTGTTAGCCTCGACACAATACGCTTGACTATATATTTACAGTTTCACTGAAAATAGATTGATTTTCCTGGACTGAAACAATAGCCCCACACGAGATATTCCGGAAGCATGACATACAACATATCTGCAAAGTTTCCTCATATAGTAAACCACTGGCAAACAAGGAAACGGGCAGCCTGTTGACATGTCTATGGTAGACAGTTCGTGTCATAATGCGGATTTTGAAGGTACTACCCACATTGCCACGTAATCGCAGTCAGCAATATCCCAACTAAACGACGATATTTAGATACTAGTGTGAACAGGAAACCACAAGGAGAGGGTCCCGATTTTTGGGATTTTGGGATTTTGTTTTTGTTTTTGTTTTTCTGGGGGGGGGGGGGGGGGGGGGGGGGTCCTGGGAGTAGTACGGATACACAAGCAGGAGGTCCTCACATTGGTATCGTCCTCTTGCCATTTTTATCGGCTATTAGATAGGCATGGCTAGCCATTTTGTTTTAAATCTTGCGACTATCTACTTGTTTTTAAATATATAAATTCTGGGTCAGATAGAGACCCCCTTAATCTTTGATGGTCGTTGGAGGCGACTTAAGGGATCGGGTGGTCAGGATCTATGACTTTGTTGACTGCGCGTCATCCGACAGCATGGATCTTTGCTCATAATATCAATCACTGGATTTGCAGGTTCCTGCTCCATTATTTTCAGAACATCGGCATAGCTAGGGAACATTGTCCAGTGAGGCGCTAAACAGTGTTGCGAATCACGACGACTGGGCCACCCGTGCGCCCAACTCACTTTCGACAGTTGAATGCTATGCACCTAGAGAAGCTTCGTATTTTAAACATTTTAAATTCTAGCCTAAATTCTAGTGTTGGTTTCAATAAGGCTACACCATTCCAGATACTCACATTGTCTTGACAAAGTCAGACTCCGTCCATTCAGTCCTCGTCCAGCCTGGGGGCGGTCGGGTAGCCTAGTGGTTAAAGTGTTCGCTCGTCACGCCGAAGACCCGGGTTCGATTCCCGACATGGGTACAATGTGTGAAGCCCATTTCTGGTGTCCCCCGCCGTGATATTGCTGGAATATTGCTAAAAGCGGCGTAACACCATACTCACTCACTCACTCGTCCAGGCTGAAGGAACGCTCAGTGCGCGGTCGGCACGACTCGTTTCCCTTTTTGTTTTCTAGTTATTTTCTAAAGTTACCGTTTTCACATTCTAGTCAATCGGTATTCGAGTTACCGGTGTTTATAAATACTAGAATTGTATTGATTTTTTAATATTTCTAAGCTCCCATAACAGCCAGTAAGTAAGTCAGTTGTACTGAACATTATGCTTATGCTTATGATTGTACAGGGAAGTGGAAGGTATTAATGGTTCCATTTGATTGAATTCAAACCAGCAAGTTTAAAAAAACTAAAACCGCAAACGAGGGTGTTCAAAAGAAATGGGGAGGTATTTGATTTCATTTAGTTGTGTTTTGGACCTTACGTTGGCATTGTTTCGGGGACTGTTTTCAGCCGAGTAACGTTTGATAACGCTTGTAATGTTTTGGTCAAATACAAGTGATATAATTTCTTTCGCCCAGCAGTTTATATCACCGTGGGACCGCTTCAATGCGCAGAGTTACTTCCCTTAGTCGTGTCAGGATCTGGTGATCGTGGGTTCGAACCCCAGAATTTTCTATATTATTCTTGTGCTGCATAACCATACATGTGTTCATCGCCCTGTAGTTTATATCACCGTTGGGTGTAATGGCGACCGCTTCAGTGCGCAGAGTTACTTCCCTTAGTCGTGTCAGGATCTGGTGATCGTGGGTTCGAACCCCAGAATTTTCTATATTATTCTTGTGCTGCATAACCATACATGTGTTCATCGCCCTGTAGTTTATATCACTGTTGGGTGTAATGGCGACCGCTTCAGTGCGCAGAGTTACTTCCCTTAGTCGTGTCAGGATCTGGTGATCTTGGGTTCGAATCCCAGAATTTTCTATATTATTCTTGTCCTGCATTACCATACATGTGTTCTTGGAATTGTCCCCAAGGTCTATGTACGACTCACGTCAGGCTTTTTTCCACATTGAGACGACACGTCGACATATAGCTCAAATACAGTTGAAAGTAGCGAAAGATATACTTCACTTACTTACTCTGAATCTTGATAAGTCGAATTCCGGATTACTCGATATTTTCACCTCATTCACTCTACATAGGACACACACACGAACGCACTCAAACACATAAATACGCGCCATGACGTGCAATCTTCAAGTCACACAGACACGCATTGGAATAAATATATGATAATTCCTCCTACCCAAACCCGAGTTCCAATAATCAAGGTACATTTGACAAAGTATAAATTGTTGAAAATATTCATTGACAATGGTATTTATTTTTCATCAGCTCCCTTTTCAACTTGGTTATCTTGATGAATCATCCGGAATAACCCGAGTTAAAGATAAAAAAAAGTGTCCCCTGACTGGCCACTTGACCGAGTCGAGTGTCAGTGTGTGTCGGGCTTGGCGGACAGGTATGCGGCCTACTGTATGCCTCTTGTCTGTGGTGGTTGGTATTGTTGTCGCTGATAACGATGTGTCCTTTGTATCATTGTCGCCGCCTCGCAGGTTTTATAACCATGTTGTGGTAGCATAGTTGTTTAAGCGTTCGCTGGTCACGTCGAATACCCATGTTCGTTCCCCACATGGGAAAAATGTGTGAAGCACATTTCTGGTGTCCCCCGCCGTAAGATTATGTTATATTGCTAAAAGCGGCGTAAAATCATATTCACCCTTACCATGTTGGTGTAAGTGAACACATCCATAGAACGTAACCATGAGAGTGTGTGAGTGGGATACAATTTAACGTCGTATAGGAAAAATCTCGGCCATCTCACGACAACGCTAACGTATTTTATTTATATCACGGCGTGTCAGCTTTAAAATGGAAGGATAAGGATAAGCTCAGCTGGTCGAAGGCGTTTATCTAATCTGACATATCCATTGTTTGGCAAAATGCCCTTTGATAATTGAGTGCGTTAGTTGGGAATAACACCGCTTTGAATAGTATTCCAGTTATATCACGCTGTCAGTTTGATGTGAGAGGAAAGCCCGAAGTGATGCAGGTCTCGGACGTTTACCACTTCGATGAAACCCACGACCACGGGAATGGTGCAGACAAACCTCGAAACATAATAGGGGCGAACCGGGATTGTTCCATAGGTTTCTGGCGCGTCCAAGGGACGCAACTCTTCACACCGAATTGCAGCACCTTAGACGACTGGGCGGTCCGTGCCCCCTTTGAATATTACCGATTACGTATTCATGCAACGCCTCATACTCGTCCGTGAGCTGATATAATTGGGGATAACGAAGTAGCGAGTCTACAATGCACGGGGATGAATAATAAACAAAACAACAGGTTTCGTTCCACGTTGTTCTGAAGCTTCACTTCCTGTACGGTAACAACTCATTTAATGATAATAATGATAATAATAATAATAATAATAATAATAATATATGCATGTGTATAGCGCAGTATCCGCTGTGCATAAGTGCTCTGTGCGCTGCAATGAAACTTATAGTCAGTGGGAGTGTTTTTTGAACAGGTGGGTCTTGATGGGGGTGTTTAAGCAGGAGAGTGATGAGGATGTCTTTATGGAGAGAGGGAGTTCATTCCACTTGGAGCTTGCTGTGTAGGCGAAGGATCGCAAGCCTAATGATGATGTCTTCACACGTGGCACTGTTAGAAGGAGCTGATTTTGGGACCGCAGGGAGCGCACATTCTTGTAACGTGGAATCAGTTCTGTCAAGTAGGCTGGAGCTAGATTTCCTGTACAATAACAAGTCATTTCAAGTACGGTAATAACTCATTTCCTGTACGGTAACAACTCATTTCCTGTACGGTAACAACTCATTTCCTGTACGGTAATAACTCATTTCCAGTACGGTAACAACTCATTTCCTGTACGGTAACAACTCATTTCCTGTACGGTAACAACTCATTTCCTGTACGGTAACAACTCATTTCCAGTACGGTAACAACTCATTTCCAGTACGGTAACAACTCATTTCCAGTACGGTAACAACTCATTTCCTGTACGGTAACAACTCATTTCCTGAACGGTAACAACTCCCGATAAAAAAAATAATATTCTGTGTCTTGGATACTCCGCCAGGTTATTAATGTTTCTTTCGTTCCCGTTTGGCGTTTCTGTTTGTTGATATCGTTATGTGAATGTTATTTATGTTATTCCTGTTAATGTTCATAAATGTATTTTGTTTATGTTTTTTTGTAATATACTCTTCAAAAAAAGAAACTTGACATAGATGTAAAACCACTTTTTGCCAAATATCTAAAATAATTACATTAAATGAGAACCAAATCAGTCAAACAGAAAGATGATGTGTCTATAATTCGCGAAAACACATGCAAAGCACATAAAAGTAGCGTTTGGGGATCAATTTTACACCTTCATCCAAACGCAACCGCCTGTGAAAAACGTACATCACAGGATCCTGCATTTAGGCATGCAGGCCCACTGCTGAATGGGTATAAAAATCCACATCAACGGCTGTTCATACAGTCCGTGTAACGGCAGTAGAGGCGGTGACAGAATGCCAAGACGGAAGCTCAACGGAACAACGCCATTGGGAGATTACAAGCTGGAGCAACTCAGCAAGAAGTGGCCAGGCACTTTGGCGTATCCAGACAGACAATCTCCGCACTGTGGACCCGATACAACAACACCAACAGAGTTGACGACAGACCAAGGTCAGGAAGACCAAGGGTGACAACCCAAGCACAAGATCGATACATCCGGCTGCGACACCTCCGAGACCGCACTACCACAGCCACGTCTACAACCACACAGATCCCTGGGGTACGCAGAATATCAGATCAAACGGTACGCAACAGACTGAGGGAGGCTGGACTTTTTGCACGAAGACCTGTTCGACGTCATGTATTGACCCCACGTCATCTGGCGGACCGTCTGCTTTGGTTCCAACAGAGGGTTATCCACCGCCCCAAACACTTCCGGCGCTTCTTGATGCACTTCAGCATGAATGGCAGCACATCCAACAGCGTGTTATTTACAACTTGATTGCATCTATGGGTCGTCGGTGTCAAGCGGTGATTGATGCACGTGGTGGGCACAACCGATACTGAAATTTTCTGTACCCCTGTGACATTAACTGTATCGTGTACGTGTGTCCGTCTAGGTGACACGATTTATGTTTTGAACATTGTGTACATTGATCTTCCAACAGTGTAAAAATTATGGTTTCTGTGTCCTATTTTGAAACAATCGCATTATATTAAATTTTGAAAGTCAGTGTCAAGTTTCTTTTTTTGAAGAGTATATACGTTTGTGTTCACTGCTTGTTGAGGCTGTTTTCTGAACTACTCGTCTCCATCAGTTCCACGAACTCTTCATAGTTGAGTTTGTTGTCTCCGTTCCGGTCGACCTGAGCTATCAGCTGCATTGTTTCTTCCCTAGATAGAGGGGTGTCAGCAGTAGCCATAACTCGAGACAGTTCGTCTACTGACAAGACGCCATCTTTGTTTGTGTCCAAGCTGCGAAAGAGACGTCTGAGGTTTGCGCACCTGCAGTGTAAAATAAACCATTATAGTACAACATAGTATACCACCACATTGACAACGTATGTTTTATGTTAGTGATCGACCATTTAATATGTTTCGGGGATGTGTTTGTTTTAAAAGCGACAAAACTCACTAACACTATAAGAGGGCACTTACTTTCTCTCTTTGGGCGCTATGGTTGGCATGGCGACCAGGAACTCACTAACACTGTCAGAGAGTACTCACTTCCTCTCTGTGGGCGATATGGTTGGCATGGCAACCAGGAACTCACTAACATTATAAAGGGGCACTTACTTTCTCTCTTTGGGTGTTATGGTTGGCATGGCGACCAGGAACTCACTAACACTGTAAGAGATCACTTAATTTCCCTGTTTGAGTTCTATGGTTGGCATGGCAACCAAGAACTCACACTGTAGGGGAACACTTACTTCCTCTCTGTGGGCGCTACGGATGGCATGGCGGCCAGGAACTCGTCCAAGGTCACCTTGGAGTTTTTGTCTGCGTCGAGAGTGTTGAACAGGGCCTGAAGGAAACGTGATGATTTGTATTAGACGTGGTACAGTGGGTGGTACAGAGGGTGGTACAGAGAGGATACAGCCGTGTAGCTAAGGACACATGAATCACATAGAAGACACGGTGTCAAGGACGAATCCAATCCTTTTAATCGTACTGATAAATAACACCCGCGTTTCAACGTTGGATAGAAACAGAATTGATTAATCTTTCTGGATTAAAACTTTCAATTGAACAACCCTGTTAATACTTGATTCACATTATCACAGTATAACGTTATCACATGACTCATAGTGTAGTTTAATCGTTCATTCGTCACGGGCCGCAAAACCACCCACTCACTTATTCACTCAAGAATCCGTGACGAATAGACTGTGCTTGTCGTAAGAGGCGACCAACGGGATCGGGAGGTCAGACTCGCTGCCTTTGTTGGTGCATGTCATCGTATCCCAATTGCGTAGATCGATGCTCATGATGTCAATCACTGGATTGTGTGGTCCATTAGAACAGACCGTCGTGTAGCTGGATTATTGCTGAGTGCGGCGTTAAACAACAAACAAACAAACAAACAAACAAACAATCACTCCAGGGATAGACTGATCCAGGCGATCATGATCATTGCATGTCCTGAGTCATCCCGACAAGCTTTTTAATGATTAACACCGGTAAACATGGACATGGGCAGAATTTGCGCAGTGCGTTCAGAACAGACAGCTGTGTCGTAATACGAGTAGAGAGGGTTTATTTAGATTTGTACATCAAAATCAATACACTTGTATGTGAATATACAGGAAAAGATTATACATGATTAGATGAACAATAGCTCAGCAAAATCCCGTTAACTCCTTAATCTCGATATAGCCGCTGGGACTTCATCCCCCAGACATAATACATACACTAGGACCTAATATCGACACCCCCTGTTTCGAACTACGGAGTACTCGAGGTTTCCCGTGGCTTCGAGTTCATGGTTCATTCGGGGCGCCCATTTTTGTCTACAGTTCCTTTCGTCTACAGTGTGATCAGAGAAGTAATAAGCTGACCCTTCAGAAACACAGTGGACACGTCCTTGTAGAATAAGGTAAAGAAGAATATGAGATAGTTGAATATATTTATTTTATACAATGAACAAATATAACATATCAAAGTATAGTCAACAAGCAATAGGGGGCACGGGTGGCCCAGTCGTCTAATTCGCGATTCGCTGTGCAGAGTTGATCCCTTGGGCACGCCAGAAACCTATGATTGTGGGTTCGAATCCCGGTTCGCCCCGATTATGTTTCTAGGTTTATCAGCACCATACCCGTGCTCGTGGGTTTCACCGAAGTGGTCTGAGACCTGCATCACTTCGGGCTTTCCTCCCACATTAAGCTGACACGCCGCGATATAACTGGAATAATGTTAAAAGCTGCGTTAATCCCGACTCACTCACTCAAGAAGCAATATTCCTTAACACTTATACGTGTTATGTACAGCAGCAGTAGCTGAACAATATAATACCAGTTCAACGGTTGAACCAAGTTTAGCTAAATGTCCTGCATCATCAAAGGATTCCAACGGGGATTTCACGTCTCTAAGTGGTCTTTCGGCCGCTGTAATCTATATAAAGTTTTACATTCGTCACCACTCGCCCCTTTCCGTAACCTGCAAGAAGACTCGTCCCCCTATCTATGAATGTTATGTGCGAAAATACGACAAACAAATCAGAATGCGCGTATGATTTCAAGTTCTTCGTCCAGAATCCCTCAGAAATAATTTTTGATTTTACATATGTCTTTCATCTAAAAATATACCCAAGACACAGTTAAATGTGTTCAATCATACTGTATAATTCCACATGTCCTGATGTGCTTTAAATTGCATCTGAATTATATATAATATGTGGGGAAATATATGTGAACCATTACGGAACGAGTTGACAATTGTTTTGGGTATGCCCGTTTGCGCTAAGACGGAACCCGGTCACAAAAATGGCCACGAGATGGGCACGAGTCGCTATTCAGCTTGTCCCGGAATAACACGAGTTGGTCACGAATGATAGTTTTGGTGATTTTTGATAATGTTTTGAAATGTTGGAGGGTGATTGAAGAATTTACTTGTTTTTGGGGTTGCTTTTTTAGCAAATTGGGCGGCAATAGCGTTAGCAATGGTCGCTGGCACAGGTATCATTATGATTTGTTTGTTTGTTGTTTAACGCCGTAGAATAGGTCTTTACCAACCCATGATTGCTGTAAAAGGCGACTATGCTTGTCGTAAGAGGCGACTAACGGGATCTCGTGGTCAGGCTTGATGACTTGGTTGATGCATGTCATCGTATCCCCCTAGTGTGGATCGATGCTCATGATGTCAATCACTGGACTGTGTGGTCCAGACTCGATTATCATATAGCTGTAATATGGCGGCGTTTAACAAACAAACAGACTCAGCAAATTGACTCCTATTTTGTGTATTGTTTTCGATAAGCCATTGCTTAACATAAAGACAAATGAGACACGTGGATTATAGAGAGAGGGAGGCAGTGCCTGAAGGATGTGTTGAAAATATCGAGACGAAAGAACTCACCACAATTCTCGACCGGGACATGCGATAGCCGAGAGCTGAACAGAGTGCGCCGACCTCAGGCAGGTTGAGACAGCCGTCGCCATTCGAGTCCACCCCCAGAAACATCTTGATGTACTTATCCCTCTCTTGTTTCGTCAGATGGGACATTGTAAACTCCTGCTGATCTCACAAGCTTCAATATAGTCAATGTTCAACTGTCGGTGATGAAGGATAGTTTCGGACGGATGTAACAAAAGGCAGCTAATTGGGTCCGGCGATTATACAATAGCCGGTATGCTCGGTTGTACTCTGTGTAGTTTAGGCTTTATCGGTGTAGAGATAAAGAAAGGCTATCAGCTATTGATAACACAATATATATTCACGTTGGGTCTGTCACGACAAAACATGGATGACAGCTGATTTGTTTCCCATAAGGACGGCAATGTGTCCGCTATATCACGGCAATGTGTCCGCTATATCACGGCAATGTGTCCGCTATATTACGGCAATGTGTCCGCTATATGACGGCAATATGTCATCTATATGACGGCAATGTGTCCGCTTTATGACGGCAATGTGTCTATTATATGACGGCAATATGTCATCTATATGACGGCAATGTGCCTGCTATTTTACGGCAATGTGTCCGCTTTATGACGGCAATATGTCCGTCTTATGACGCTACGTGTCCGCTATATGACGGCAACGTGTGCGCTATATGACGGGAATGTGTCCGCTATATTACGGCAATGTGTCCGCTAAAAGACGGCAATATGTCCGTCTTATGACGCCACGTGTCCGCTATATGACGGCAACGTGTCCGCTATATGACGGCAATGTGTCCGCTATATGACGGCATTATGTCCGTCTTATGACGCCACGTGTCCGCTATATGACGGCAACGTGTCCGCTATATGACGGCAATGTGTCCGCTTTATGACGGCATTATGTCCGTCTTATGACGCCACGTGTCCGCTATATGACGGCAACGTGTCCGCTATATGACGGCAATGTGTCCGCTATATGACGGCATTATGTCCGTCTTATGACGGCAATATGTCCGCTATGAGATGCCAACGTGTCCGCTATAAGACGGTAATATGTTAGCTACATGACGACATGTTCATGATGTCATTCACTGGATTGTCTGGTCAAGACTCGATTATTTACAGACCGCCATCACATAGCTGGAATATTGCTGAGTACGGCGTTAAACAACAAACAAACCAACAAAGTGTATGTGTGAAGGCCGGATTAGGCCTGCTGTGTGTGTATTGGTCTAGTGTAGCACCAGATGGCGGTGCTCGTACTACACAGCGTATTCCACTGTTGTATGTAACGTTGTTATAATGTGTGCTTATGATTCAGAGTAATGGTTGGGTGAGGTGAGGTGAAATGGGGTTTAACGTCGCGTCCAAGACTATTGCACTTATATAGCGAAGTGCATGCACGTGTATGTATGTGTGTGGCTGCTTGTACTAGTCCGGACTGATGCCGATTTATAGTGCTAGCTCACTGAGATACTTTGCCGCAGTTTAACATGAATACCCCACTCAGACACAGTATACTGACTCCGAGCCAACCAGTCCTTGTTTTAGCCCCTTAATGCCGAGCGCCAGACAGGGTAACAACAAGTACCATCTTTTAAAGTCTTTTGGTATGACGCGGTCGGGGATCGAACACCGGACCTTCCGCTCTCCGGACAACTTCGTACTTGGGCTGCAAGCGTGACATTTCGAAAGCGAGGTCCGTATATTTGCCATGTTTTTCCTCAATCTTGTCAATCACATTAGTGTCAAAAGGGACAGAAAATTCAATAATATAAATGATTTCATTGGATTTATCAAAAAGGACAAGATCAGGTTTGTTGGCCTGGATACGTCTGAGGCTGTAAACGGGCCTATTCCAAAGAATTGTGTATTTGTCATTTTCCATGACGCCCTCTACATATTCTGGGTCGTACCATGGATGGAGCTCTGTGTCAAAACCACAAGCATGGCGAAGACGGTAATAAGATTAAGATAAGTTTAAGATACTGTGTTTATGCCAAAGCTGGGCATCCACTGACAGTGTGTTGGACAGTCTAATTAAATTATTATTATTATTATGATGATGATGATGATGATGATGATGATGATGACGACGACGATGTTGATGATGATGGGAATTATATGTAGCCTTCATTTAGTTAGACTGTTTAAAAAAATAACATGATCCTGAGATTCACAATATCTCCTTTATTATCATATGTCTAATTAATATGGTTGAGTTGTATTCATGACATATGGAATCTGACAACGTCAGATTGAACAAGTTGAAATGGACAATGGTTTTTGACCCTTCATAAAACAATGTGATAGGCTCCTAAATGATAAGTTTGGTATTTCTAAATCATGTGAATTGTGTTATACGGTTGTCCTGTACAACATTACAATTATCAAACGCCTTATAATTCCCTGGTTTGTTTACCAGAGCGACCGACAAAATACTCTTTAACTTGAAGTTTTGTCCGACATGAGACTTTATCAACGCATTTCGTAATTGTGAATAATACATATTAAACCATTATTCTAACAAATAAAACCAAGTAAATATCTTTCGTAATCGTTTTGCAACTATACGTCCGTAATGGCGAGACTCATCGAGTTTGTTTTTATGATTCATAAGTAGCAGTACCAATGTGGAAGTTGAAATTCGGGTCATCTGAGGATGAAGAGGACCGCTGTTGAAAATCTATATTTGGTTTTATGGTGTGATGATGATAATATGTAATCTAATATAATATGATATAATATATAAAATCTTACCTCCCCGCAAATTATCTCCCCTTTGTCGTAAGTGTCCAAGCTTCTCACAGCGATAGCCCGTTCGCGGAACTCTCTATGCTATCGCTGCCACCAGTCATAACTCCCCACTGTGATAGGTGGCCACAACAATGCTTGGAGTTGAACTCGCAACCGAATGACCGTTATGTTTACAAACAAGTGACGACTGTCGTGACGCCGATTGCACTTATCGCTGCTAAATTACTTTCTTTGTTTGTCAATTTGAATTTCTGTTTCATTAAAACTGTCGTGTTATTGATATAGTAAGGTTGAAGTTGGTTGATTTTCCGTTAGTCTGCAATCTCGAACCAATCTGATTATTAAAACAATAAACTAAGTAAATTCATCTGGAAAACATGGTCAGTCGTAAACTTTTCAAAATGAACTATGATGGCATTCCCAAAGACATATAGAAAAGTATAAACGTCACAAAATTTGGGGTTAGAGGGCAAATTTCAAAATTGTTGTAATGGCCGCGCCCACACTGGTGGCAGCGATGTTATCGAGAGTGTAACGAAGGTGTCACGCACTGGGAGGAGCTTGGTAAGTGTCTGGCCCGTACGCAAACTATTTCCTATTTAGAAGTTGGAGTACTAAGTAAGGATAAAATTTATGGATGAACAACTTCTTTATTGCAAATAAGAGCGACGTTTCGGTGTAGGTTCTAACACCGTTATCAAGCAATTGATATTCAGGTGAGGTGAGGTGAAATGGGGTTTAACGTCGCGTCCAAGATTATTGCACTTATATAGCGACGGGCATGTACGTGTGTGTGTTTGTGTGGCTCCTTATACTAGTCCGGACTGATGCCGATTTATAGTGCTAGCTCACTGAGATACCATGCCGCAGTTTACCATGAATACCCCACTCAGACACAGTATACCAGCCGACCAGTTCTTGTTTTAGCCCCTTAATGCCGAGCGCCAGACAGGGTAACAACAAGTACCATCTTTTAACGTCTTTTGGTATGACGCGGCTGGTTATCGAACCCCGGACCTTCCGCTCTCCGGTCAGACGCTCTACCACTAAACCACTGAGGTGGTCTCTTTGATATTCAGAGTATGGTTGACAAGTATATATTCAGGTAGGAGTGAGTGAGTGAGTTTGGTTTTACGCCGCTTTTAGCAATATTCCAGCAATATCACGGCGGGGGACACCAGATATGGGCTTCACCCATTGCACCCATGTCAGGAATCGAACCCGGGTCATCGGCGTGCCGAGCGAACGCTTTAACCACTAGGCTACCCGACCGCCCCTATACAGGTAGGAGGCAATGTTTATACAGTAGAGTAGATATCAGATGTCGTTATACTGGAGTGGAGAAGCCTGTTATGTACACACAAGGCACAGGCCCCTGAAGCAGGTTGTATAACTGAAACACTGGACCTATCTATATAAATAGACAAGGTACGTCACTTGCCATCTTGGCCGAAGTTGAAATCGGCTGTATATTGAAAATGGAAATGTATGCATATCATGTTCACAATACCGGCCCACCTCCCTCCACATACGACCTGCATGCCACAAACCTTCATTTTTTTTCAATTTATTACCAATATCGGGTGATTTTATCGAAATATTGGCTCAGTCGCGGCTGTGGGTCACGGAAGTAAACAACAAATCTCCGCGCACAATGGCGTCGAGTGCTGTGATTGGTCCGCGTTCCAACCATAACAAACGCGCATGAGGATATTTACCAATCAGAGCGCTCGGATCACGCACTACGGGCACATGGAAATATTTCTTTAAAATCAATTGAAAAATATTCTTTTCGCATCACGGACTACGCATACTTAAAATCCAAGTTTTCGGCCTTCCATAAGCTCCGTTATCGGGTGAACACTCAAAAAGTTATTCCTATCTTATATTAAAAGTTCTTCACGTCTGAACTGCACAATGTAGAATAAACGGGGTCCCCTGACATATTATTGTAGCGGGTTACTGTTTTTTGTTCAGTAACTCTAAAAACTCTTCATAATCTAGTTTTCCATCTCCGTTCCGGTCAACCTCTGAAATGAGATCATTGATCTCGGTGGTTGACAGCGGAACACCATCTGATTGCAGTACCCCAGACAGTTCTTCAGGTGAGATCTTCTTGTCCTCATTTTTGTCCAAAGACTGGAACAGGCGACGCATGCGTGCGCTTCTGAAAGTCAGACATGACATCAGTATAACTGGTTGTCATTAAATCAGAATAGGGCAGTTAGTTTCGTTTGTTATCGCCGCACTCAGCAATATTCCAGCTATATGATGGTGATGTAAATGATCAAGTCTAGACCAGACAATCCATTGACTGACATCATAAGCATCGATCTACGAAATTGGGATACGATGACATGCATCAACCAAGTCGACGAGCCTGATCACCCGATCCCGTTAGTCGACTCCCACAACAAGCATAGTCGTCTCTTAAGTGAGTGAGTGAGTGAGTTGGGTTTAACGCCGCTTTTAACAGTATTCCAGTTATATCACGGCGTGTCAGCTTAATGTGGGAGGAAAGCCCGAAGTGATGCAGGTCTAAGACGTTTACCACTTCGGTGAAACCCACGAGCACGGGTATGGTGCTGACAAACCTAGAAACATAATCGGGGCGAACCGGGATTCGAACCCACAATCATAGGTTTCTGGCGTGCCCAAGGGACGCAACTCTGCACAGCGAATCGCGGCGCCTTAGACGACTGGGCCACCCGTGCCCCCCGTCTCTTAAGACAAACATTGGTTGCTGAAGACCAATTCTAACCCGGATCTTAGTAATCCAAATATAGGATAGTATTGTTATGTTCATTTATCATTTTCTTCTTAGGAGATAAACAATTTTTTTTCTTTTCAGATTTTGGTGGGTTAGTGTTCGATGACCGGAAATTTACCATTTAAAACCTTCGGCTAACTCCGACAAATGACATTTCTTGGCATCGAATATTCATTAACACCCCCTAATCTTTCAACCTCTATTATTATATACTTCAGACTGTGTTTTATGAAGATGATAAAAGTGATATTTTCATTGCACTTGATACTTCACCCTTTGACGAAATTATTGTCTCACAAGAGTTACCTCCCCGCAAATTATCTCCCCTTTGTCGTAAGTGTCTAGCCGATACGCATACTGTTGACTTTCTATTAACGTTATTTCCGAAATTAACATGACAACATGATGACAGATGCTCATTAATGGAGTTAAAACTGCTTCTTGTTATAAACTGTAAATTTCTCATTTAACTCGTCAATCGAGAGTGTTCGTTTCACAAAGCGCCATTTTGTTACTTGACTAGCGTGTATGCTTTCGCTTTCAACAACGTTCTCATAGATTTCCAGAATACTTTTTGTTGAAGTTGAATTTGTATCCAAATGTACAATAAAGTAATTTATTGACCTCAAATATATTTTATTACTTTATATTTTATAAGATTTGGCAAACACGGAACAACTTTTAAAAAGGCAATTACAATGGGTAGTGAAAGGTCCCTGGGTGTCAGGTTTCAGGGTGTTATATTTTAATTTTCCGGTAGACAATTACACAAAAAGTATATGATAAATAGGATATTCCACGTGTCTTGTAATATATCACGTTTCTCTCATCTCGTGACAAGGGAAAGGAGGTATAACACACACACACACACACACACACACACACACACACACACACACACACACACACACACACACACACACACACACACACACACACACACACACACACACACACACACACACACACACACACACACACACACACACACCATGTGTCCCCTCCCTCCGACACATGGAATATCATCTATGTATTTGTGTGGTATCGAGAGGTACGTTTGTTTAAGTAAAATGTGTAATGTGGTTTGGTTGTGTGGTTGTTGTGTAGTATGGTGTGCTTGAATGATATGATGTGGTGTGGTTGTTGTGTAATATGGCGTGGCTATGTGATGTGATGACGTGGTTGTGATGCGTGATGTGGTGTGGCTGTGTGGTGTGATGTTGTGTGGTGTCGCGTGGATGTGTGATATGGTGTGGCTGTGTGATGTGGTTTGATTGTTGTGTGATGTAGTGAGGTATGATTGTTGTGTGATGTAGTGAGGTGTGATTGTTGTGTGATGTAGTGAGGTGTGATTGTTATGTGATGTAGTGATGTGTGATTGTTGTGTGATGTAGTGAGGTGTGATTGTTGTCTGATGAAGTGAGGTGTGATGTTGTGTGATGTAGTGACATGTGATTGTTGTCTGATGAAGTGAGGTGTGATTGTTATGTGATGAAGTGATGTGTGATTGTTATGTGATGTAGTGCGGTGTGATTGTTATGTGATGTAGTGAGGTGTGATTGTTGTCTGATAAAGTGATGTGTGATTGTTGTGTGATGTAGTGATGTGTGGTTGTTGTGTGATGTAGTGATGTGTGATTGTTATGTGATGTAGTGACATGTGATTGTTGTATGATGTAGTGATGTGTGATTGTTGTGTGATGTAGTGATGTGTGGTTGTTGTGTGATGTAGTGATGTGTGATTGTTGTGTGATGTATTGAGGTGTGATTGTTGTGTGATGTAGTGAGGTGTGATTGTTGTGTGATGTAGTGAGGTGTGATTGTTGTGTGATGTAGTTATGTGTGATTGTTGTGTGATTGTTCGGTGATGTGGTGAGGTGTGATTGTTATGTGATGTAGTGACATGTGATTGTTGTATGATGTAGTGATGTGTGATTGTTGTGTGATGTAGTGATGTGTGGTTGTTGTGTGATGTAGTGAGGTGTGATTGTTGTGTGATGTAGTGAGGTGTGATTGTTGTGTGATGTAGTGAGGTGTGATTGTTGTGTGATGTAGTGAGGTGTGATTGTTGTGTGATGTAGTGACATGTGATTGTTGTATGATGTAGTGATGTGTGATTGTTGTGTGATGTAGTGATGTGTGGTTGTTGTGTGATGTAGTGAGGTGTGATTGTTGTCTGATGTAGTGAGGTGTGATTGTTGTGTGATGTAGTGAGGTGTGATTGTTGTGTGATGTAGTGATGTGTGATTGTTGTGTGATGTAGTGACATGTGATTGTTGTATGATGTAGTGATGTGTGATTGTTGTGTGATGAAGTGATGTGTGGTTGTTGTGGGATGTAGTGAGGTGTGATTGTTGTCTGATGAAGTGATGTGTGAGGTGTGATGTAGTGAGGTGTGATTGTTGTGTGATGTAGTGATGTGTGATTGTTGTGTGATGTAGTGAGGTGTGATTGTTATGTGATGAAGTGATGTGTGATTGTTGTGTGATGTAGTGATGTGTGATTGTTGTATGATGTAGTGACATGTGATTGTTGTGTGATGTAGTGATGTGTGATTGTTGTGTGATGTAGTGAGGTGTGATTGTTGTGTGATGAAGTGATGTATGATTGTTGTGTGATGTAGTGAGGTGTGATTGTTATCTGATGTAGTGACATGTGATTGTTGTATGATGTAGTGATGTGTGATTGTTGTGTGATGTAGTGAGGTGTGATTGTTGTGTGATGAAGTGACATGTGATTGTTGTATGATGTAGTGATGTATGATTGTTGTGTGATGTAGTGATGTGTGATTGTTATGTGATGTAGTGACATGTGATTGTTGTATGATGTAGTGATGTGTGATTGTTGTGTGATGTAGTGAGGTGTGATTGTTGTGTGATGAAGTGACATGTGATTGTTGTATGATGTAGTGATGTGTGATTGTTGTGTGATGTAGTGAGGTGTGATTGTTATGTGATGTAGTGACATGAGATTGTTGTATGATGTAGTGATGTGTGATTGTTGTGTGATGTAGTGAGGTGTGATTGTTGTGTGATGAAGTGATGTGTGATTGTTGTGTGATGTAGTGAGGTGTGATTGTTGTATGATGTAGTGATGTGTGATTGTTGTGTGATGTAGTGATGTGTGATTGCTGTGTGATGTAGTGAGGTGTGATTGTTGTCTGATGAAGTGATGTATGATTGTTGTGTGATGTAGTGAGGTGTGATTGTTGTATGATGTAGTGAGGTGTGATTGTTGTGTGATGTAGTGAGGTGTGATTGTTGTGTGATGTAGTGAGGTGTGATTGTTGTCTGATGTAGTGAGGTGTGATTGTTGTGTGATGTAGTGAGGTGTGATTGTTGTGTGATGAAGTGATGTGTGATTGTTGTGTGATGTAGTGAGGTGTGATTGTTATGTGATGTAGTGACATGAGATTGTTGTATGATGTAGTGATGTGTGATTGTTGTGTGATGTAGTGAGGTGTGATTGTTGTGTGATGAAGTGATGTGTGATTGTTGTGTGATGTAGTGAGGTGTGATTGTTGTATGATGTAGTGATGTGTGATTGTTGTGTGATGTAGTGATGTGTGATTGCTGTGTGATGTAGTGAGGTGTGATTGTTGTCTGATGAAGTGATGTATGATTGTTGTGTGATGTAGTGAGGTGTGATTGTTGTATGATGTAGTGAGGTGTGATTGTTGTGTGATGTAGTGAGGTGTGATTGTTGTGTGATGTAGTGAGGTGTGATTGTTGTCTGATGTAGTGAGGTGTGATTGTTGTGTGATGTAGTGAGGTGTGATTGTTGTGTGATGAAGTGATGTGTGATTGTTGTGTGATGTAGTGAGGTGTGATTGTTGTGTGATGTAGTTATGTGTGATTGTTGTGTGATGTAGTGTGGTGTGATTGTTGTGTGATGAAGTGATGTATGATTGTTGTGTGATGTAGTGAGGTGTGATTGTTGTGTGATGTAGTGAGGTGTGATTGTTGTGTGATGAAGTGATGTGTGATTGTTGTGTGATGAAGTGATGTGTGATTGTTGTGTGATGTAGTGAGGTGTGATTGTTGTGTGATGAAGTGATGTGTGATTGTTGTGTGATGAAGTGATGTGTGATTGTTGTGTGATTGTTCGGTGATGTGGTGTGGTTGTTGTGTGATATGGTGAGGTTTGATTGTTGTGTGATGTAGTGATGTGTGATTGTTGTGTGATGAAGTGATGTGTGATTGTTGTGTGATGTAGTGACGTGTGATTGTTGTGTGATGTAGTGAGGTGTGATTGTTGTGTGATGAAGTAATGTGTGATTGTTGTGTGATGAAGTGATGTGTGATTGTTGTGTGATTGTTCGGTGATGTGGTGTGGTTGTTGTGTGATATGGTGAGGTTTGATTGTTGTGTGATGTAGTGATGTGTGATTGTTGTGTGATGAAGTGATGTGTGATTGTTGTGTGATGAAGTGATGTGTGATTGTTGTGTGATGAAGTGATGTGTGATTGTTGTGTGATTGTTCGGTGATGTGGTGTGGTTGTTGTGTGATATGGTGAGGTTTGATTGTTGTGTGATGTAGTGAGGTGTGATTGTTGTGTGATGTAGTGAGGTGTGATTGTTGTGTGATGAAGTGATGTGTGATTGTTGTGTGATGAAGTGATGTGTGATTGTTCGGTGATTGTTCGGTGATGTGGTGTGGTTGTTGTGTGATATGGTGAGGTTTGATTGTTGTGTGATGTGGTGTGGTTGTGTGATGTGGTTGTTGTGTGATGTGATGTGGTTATTGTGTCATATGCTGTGGTTGTTTTGTGATGTGATATTGTTGTGTGGTTGTTGTACGATGTTGTTGTTTGTTGTTTAACGCCGCACTCAGCACTAATCCAGCTGTGTTGTATGACGTGGTGAGGTGTGACTGTTGTGTGATGTGGCGATGTGTGATTGTTGGGTGATGTGATATGGTTGTTGTGTGATATGGTGTGGTTGTCTGATGTGGTTGTCACTTGTTCTAGTGTCGTGTGTGTCCAGGAACTCCACGTGCACTTCGTCAAACCCAAGCCTGTTCTGCGGTGGTAGATTCTTCCGTTGCACGTGTAAATCCTACTGTTTCAAAACGCTATTTTAAACCAGTGTTGTTTGGTATTTAACTGGAAACTTCAAGAGGTATAATAACAAGGACTTACAGTCTTTTACGTGGTTCAATGGCCGGCATAGCTGCCAGAAACTCGTCCAACGTCACTCGCTTGTTAGCATCCTTATCAAGGTCATTGAACAGACGCTGCGGATACAAGAGACAATATATCAGTACTGCCATTCTAGACTAGGAATGAACTATCTTTTGTTTGTTATTTTACGCCGCATTCAGCAATATTCTAGCTACATGACGGCGGTCTGTAAATAATCGAGTCTGGATCAGACAATCCAGTGACTGACATTGGTTAGTGACTGAGTTTGGAGATTTAACGAACCCTTCCGGTGGACCCGTTTTCGCACATTTATATTAAGGATGTGTTCACGATGCATGTGTCCTTCACAACATGATGTGTCCTGGCCTGGTCTGCACAGTTATTTTAAAACAAACTATTTTCAAAGTCCTAGTTGTGGAGTAGAATTACGAGCTAGGCGCATCACGCGATATTTCGAAACACTGTTACGAGCTTGTAGAACGGTTCTTAGACTAACATCTCGACTCTGAAATGAACATATTGTGAACATTTACAGAAAAAAACAGTTGTTAAAATACAGTTATAAAATGTAATAAAGGACCCATGAGATTTATATTTATTGATAATTAGTGATGCCAAATATGATAGACTTGCCGATTAGTACCCACCCGATCCGAGTACCCGAACTACCCGTCCCAGCCCTACTGCCCACATATGAAGATATCGAAATTTATACATGAATTTCGAATCCCATTTTTAACCACACGGAAACTCTTATATGTAGCTATTTTTTCAGTATATGTACATGATTGTCAGGGCTTTGTTTGTTTATTTGTTGTTTAACGCCGACCTCCGCAATATTCAACTGTATGACGGCGGTCTGTAAATAATCGAGACTGGATCAGACGATCCAGTGATTGACATGATCATCGATCTACGCAATCGGGATACGATGACATGATTCAACCGAATCAGCAAGCCGACCACCCGATCCTGTTAGTCGCCTCTTATGGCAAGCACGGGCAGCTGAAGACCTATTCTCACCCGGATCTTTAGCGCCCAAACAGGAATAATCTGCATTCAGGCTTAAACCCACCATCTTCCCGATGCAAGGGATTTAACTGACCATAAAGTCCAGTTAAAGCCCTTACCGCACTAGGCTGGAATTTCTAACCTCGATCGTAGCGCCACCAGTGGTTATTACGAGTTGTGTCCCTTCTATGCCTCTCCTATTGACCAATCAGATTCCGCCTCTTGTGTCGCTTATATTTGCTTCAAACAAAATGGCGACGCCTAGTCAAGACGATCTGATCAATAATCAAGATCTATATTGGGATAAAAAGGGTCTTTCATCGCAAAGTGCATCACATCACCTGAGCACCTTGATTAAAAACATGAAAAGATTTGGAAAATATCTGTTGACCCCGAGATGGCGTTGCACATGCTTTGCAAATCCTGCAATCGACCGAAATCTGCGCGACAGTTTTGGTTTTTTGGGGTGGGGGGTGTTCATTTATACATGCATGTCGCTTGATATAATTGGTTTTTATTAATTTGATAATTTAAAACTTTACATATTATTATATACAAATTTTTCGGAGACAATGTGTTTCTCTAAGCTGGGTGAAAACTGCACTCTGTCAGTGAGCATCCATCCTTGAACTTATTGCATCACGCCGCGATACTGTTAAAAGCGGCGTTAAACCAAACTCACTCACTCACTCGCCTCGGGAAGATGTTAACCCACGTTTAACAGGTCTTGATGCATTTTTACTTGACCCTTGACGCATGCATATACCCATGTGTCACTGTCTTGTCGGTAAACATCTCCGAAACCCCTTCAAACTGAAGCTGATTTCAATAATCAACTATTTCGGCAGTTATGTATCAGAAATCTGGATTAAAGTTAGTCTGCAGTTAGCCTACACTTTTATGCAGTATTCAATAGTATTCACATTTTACCTTGATTTGATCTTTGAAGCTTGAACAAGCCCATGTTGTTTTCTATATGATAATGCGAACTGTATCAGGATACATGCAGAAGTTTTAGTGTTGAAATTTGCATATAGAGTATAGTTAGAGTAGGTAAATGGAGTTTCGGGTATTATAACGAGGTCAGGTGAAATGGGGACTAATGTTATATAGCGACGTGCATGCACGTGCGTGTGTGTCTGCTTGTCCTAGTCCGGACTGATGCCGATTTATAGTGCTAGCTCACTGAGATACCATGCCGCAGTTTAACATGAATACCCCACTCAGACACTGTATACTGACTCCGCGCCGACCAGTCCTAGGTTTAGTCTCTTTAAGCCAGCTAACAACAAGTATCACATAAGTTTATTGGTATGACGCGGACGGGAATCGAACCCCGGACCTTCCGCTCTCCGGTCAGACGCTCTACCACTAGACCACTGAGGTGGTTGTATAACGAGGTATTTCGAGGGGTCTTAGCACGAGTCTGGCCAAGAAATATGCAGTGATACACTTGAAAACCCATTTAACATAGATTTGTATCAAGGAATTGTTAATAAAAGAAGCTCGGTGAAGAGTGGCAATTGTGATTATTGTTCATTGTGCGAACGCGTTCAAGGTAATAGTATTCAATTTATATTTAATATTATTTGTTCAAATACAGCTAATTAGTGCCAATTTATACACATATTTGTAATTATTTCATTTTGAGTCTACAAATACATCGACTAATTAAACATATTAGTTTAGAGAAATTGAAGTCTTAATTTCGCAAAAATCAAAGAATTAACCTGCTTGAACAACAATGAGCAAATCGTGCAAACACAACCTGGTTTCTGCGATATATGTGCGGCACGTGTGTAACGAACGAGAACAGACAACTCAAACCGGATCAGCAACTATCTCCTTCTTGCCTTTACAGTGTTTAAAACGAGCGTATTGTACACCAAGGCCTTCGCGACTCAGTGGGTAGCGAGGTTTGAATAGTCGTCCCAAGGTCACTGTTTCAAACATCGGATCTGGCAGCAGTGACTGCAAAAGTTTGTATGACGTGCGGAGACGTAACGGTCTGTGACTGATGTGCTGACACGCCCCCTCACAATTTCTCTAGCTCCATCCCTTTTTGCTGTGTCGGGAGGTTTTGTACAGGTACAAAACATTGAAAGAAACACTACACACCTGTGCTACAATAGACGCTGTGATATGTATTTTGTGGAACCCTACGAATCTTTTCAATGCGACTATTTTATATTTCGTGTAATCGACGCTTGTGGTTGCGATCTAGTGAGGTCATACCTGTAGGTATTAGTCTGCCAATCTGATCACCTCTAATCGATATTCGACGGGATCTTGTCTGATCATAACTATGTACTTGTCTTCCCAACTGATAATAGACTGGCATCTAGTCTCTGAAATTAACATAGTTTACAGAAAAAACCAGTTGAATTATATATATTAAATATATTTAAAAAAGGAGCCCAGAGACTTTCTCCATTTTCTGATACTGCAGTAATCGTGCCAAACATTATAGACTTGCATGGGCTGTATTGGATATATTTGTTTCAGGGTTGTATGACAGACTAATCTGATCACACCGAATCGATCTTCGATATGAACAAGTCAGATCATAACATACCCACCTGATCACTTCTAATCGATATTCGGGGTCATTGTGACCATGCGACCCCCTCTGTCGAGATATATTGATTTAACTTAATTTCTTTCCACGGGACTCTAATCACGATTTATACTCACATAAATTCTGTCTTTGTCCAAATTAAACCCAAGTGTCTTACACAGTGCGCGAAGCTCTTCCATATTTAGATAACCATCGCCATTTTTGTCTGAGTCTAGGAAAATTTCACTGTAAAGCTTCCTTTCCTTCTGCAGTAGTTGGGTCATCTTCTGCAGCCGTATCCTCAAAACTCAGTGATGCAACAGTCTTAGAAATACAGAACCTTCCAGGAATCGTGGCGTTTGCTCTGAGGTCGAGAATGAAGCTAGGCTACATATAAATAGAGGAGGCAACTTACTTCGCCTTGCGGAGCTCAAGCATAGCAATGCCAGTATGTGTTATAACTCGTTTCAATAGCAAGCAAGCAGGAAATAAACACGCGTTGTCCAACTGTTATTTGTCGCTTATCTTTCACGCAGAACATGTCACGGTTGTATTTACACACCCGCGTTCATGTTTGGGGTATGCGATTATCTCCTGTCTATTTACCACCTTACAATAAATCAATATATTTTTTTATTCAGAATGTAGGCCTCTCAGTCCATGGTTCTCAGTGTAAGCGGTTCGTGTAAGAAATAATAACACACTATCGAGCCCGCGATAGCGAAACGGGGTAGTCATGCTCGCTGTCTTGGTTGATGCATGTCATCGTATCCCAACTGCTCTGGGCGATGCGCAGGATGTCAATCACTAGATTGTCTGCTCCAGACTCGAATATTTACAGACCACTGTCTTATAGCATGAATATTGCTGAATGCGGCGTAAAACAAACACACACACAAACAAAGTTGTACTATTGCTACTGCTACTGTTAATGTCGCCATTGTTGCTACTGCTACTGTTAATGTCGCCATTGTTGCTACTGCTACTGTTAATGTCGCCATTGTTGCTACTGCTACTGTTAATGTCACCATTGTTGTCACTGCTACTGTTAATGTCGCCATTGTTGCTACTGCTACTGTTAATGTCACCATTGTTGCAAATGCTACTGTTAATGTCGCCATTGTTGCTATTGCTACTGTTAATGTCGCCATTGTTGCTACTGCTACTGTTAATGTCACCATTGTTGTCACTGCTACTGTTAATGTCGCCATTGTTGCTACTGCTACTGTTAATGTCGCCATTGTTGCTACTGCTACTGTTAATGTCGCCATTGTTGCTACTGCTACTGTTAATGTCGCCATTGTTGCTACTGCTACTGTTAATGTCGCCATTGTTGCTACTGCTACTGTTAATGTCGCCATTGTTGCTACTGCTACTGTTAATGTCACCATTGTTGCAAATGCTACTGTTAATGTCGCCATTGTTGCTATTGCTACTGTTAATGTCACCATTGTTGCTACTGCTACTGTTAATGTCGCCATTGTTGCTATTGCTACTGTTAATGTCACCATTGTTGCTACTGCTACTGTTAATGTCGCCATTGTTGCTACTGCTACTGTTAATGTCACCATTGTTGCTACTGCTACTGTTAATGTCACCATTGTTGCTACTGCTACTGTTAATGTCACCATTGTTGCTACTGCTACTGTTAATGTCACCATTGTTGTTACTGCTACTGTTAATGTCGCCATTGTTGCTACTGCTACTGTTAATGTCGCCATTGTTGTCACTGCTACTGTTAATGTCACCATTGTTGCTACTGCTACTGTTAATGTCGCCATTGTTGCTACTGCTACTGTTAATGTCACCATTGTTGCTACTGCTACTGTTAATGTCGCCATTGTTGCTACTGCTACTGTTAATGTCGCCATTGTTGCTACTGCTACTGTTAATGTCGCCATTGTTGCTACTGCTACTGTTAATGTCGCCATTGTTGCTACTGCTACTGTTAATGTCGCCATTGTTGCTACTGCTACTGTTAATGTCGCCATTGTTGCTACTGCTACTGTTAATGTCACCATTGTTGCAAATGCTACTGTTAATGTCGCCATTGTTGCTATTGCTACTGTTAATGTCGCCATTGTTGCTACTGCTACTGTTAATGTCACCATTGTTGCTACTGCTACTGTTAATGTCGCCATTGTTGCTACTGCTACTGTTAATGTCGCCATTGTTGCTACTGCTACTGTTAATGTCGCCATTGTTGCTACTGCTACTGTTAATGTCACCATTGTTGCTACTGCTACTGTTAATGTCGCCATTGTTGCTACTGCTACTGTTAATGTCGCCATTGTTGCTACTGCTACTGTTAATGTCACCATTGTTGCAAATGCTACTGTTAATGTCGCCATTGTTGCTATTGCTACTGTTAATGTCGCCATTGTTGCTACTGCTACTGTTAATGTCGCCATTGTTGTTACTGCTACTGTTAATGTCGCCATTGTTGCTACTGCTACTGTTAATGTCACCATTGTTGCAAATGCTACTGTTAATGTCGCCATTGTTGCTATTGCTACTGTTAATGTCGCCATTGTTGCTACTGCTACTGTTAATGTCGCCATTGTTGCTACTGCTACTGTTAATGTCGCCATTGTTGCTACTGCTACTGTTAATGTCGCCATTGTTGCTACTGCTACTGTTAATGTCACCATTGTTGTCACTGCTACTGTTAATGTCACCATTGTTGTCACTGCTACTGTTAATGTCGCCATTGTTGCTACTGCTACTGTTAATGTCGCCATTGTTGCTACTGCTACTGTTAATGTCACCATTGTTGCAAATGCTACTGTTAATGTCGCCATTGTTGCTATTGCTACTGTTAATGTCGCCATTGTTGCTACTGCTACTGTTAATGTCACCATTGTTGCTACTGCTACTGTTAATGTCGCCATTGTTGCTACTGCTACTGTTAATGTCGCCATTGTTGCTACTGCTACTGTTAATGTCGCCATTGTTGCTACTGCTACTGTTAATGTCACCATTGTTGCTACTGCTACTGTTAATGTCACCATTGTTGCTACTGCTACTGTTAATGTCGCCATTGTTGCTACTGCTACTGTTAATGTCACCATTGTTGCTACTGCTACTGTTAATGTCGCCATTGTTGCTACTGCTACTGTTAATGTCACCATTGTTGCTACTGCTACTGTTAATGTCACCATTGTTGTCACTGCTACTGTTAATGTCACCATTGTTGTCACTGCTACTGTTAATGTAACCATTGTTGCTATTGCTACTGTTAATGTAACCATTGTTGCTACTGCTACTGTTAATGTCACCATTGTTGCTACTGCTACTGTTAATGTCACCATTGTTGCTATTGCTACTGTTAATGTCACCATTGTTGCTACTGCTACTGTTAATGTCGCCATTGTTGCTACTGCTACTGTTAATGTCGCCATTGTTGCTACTGCTACTGTTAATGTCGCCATTGTTGCTACTGCTACTGTTAATGTCGCCATTGTTGCTACTGCTACTGTTAATGTCGCCATTGTTGCTACTGCTACTGTTAATGTCGCCATTGTTGCTACTGCTACTGTTAATGTCGCCATTGTTGCTACTGCTACTGTTAATGTCACCATTGTTGCTACTGCTACTGTTAATGTCACCATTGTTGCTACTGCTACTGTTAATGTCACCATTGTTGCTACTGCTACTGTTAATGTCACCATTGTTGCTACTGCTACTGTTAATGTCACCATTGTTGCTACTGCTACTGTTAATGTCACCATTGTTGCTACTGCTACTGTTAATGTCGCCATTGTTGCTACTGCTACTGTTAATGTCACCATTGTTGCTACTGCTACTGTTAATGTCACCATTGTTGCTACTGCTACTGTTAATGTCACCATTTATGTTACTGCTACTGTTAATGTCGCCATTGTTGCTACTGCTACTGTTAATGTAACCATTGTTGCTACTGCTACTGTTAATGTCACCATTTATGTTACTGCTACTGTTAATGTCACCATTGTTGCTACTGCTACTGTTACTGTCGCCATTGTTGCTACTGCTACTGTTAATGTCGCCATTGTTGTCACTGCTACTGTTAATGTCGCCATTGTTGTCACTGCTACTGTTAATGTCGCCATTGTTGCTACTGCTACTGTTAATGTCACCATTGTTGCTACTGCTACTGTTAATGTCACCATTGTTGCTACTGCTACTGTTAATGTCGCCATTGTTGCTACTGCTACTGTTAATGTCGCCATTGTTGCTACTGCTACTGTTAATGTCGCCATTGTTGCTACTGCTACTGTTAATGTCACCATTGTTGTCACTGCTACTGTTAATGTCACCATTGTTGTCACTGCTACTGTTAATGTCACCATTGTTGCTACTGCTACTGTTAATCTCACCATTGTTGCTACTGCTACTGTTAATGTCACCATTGTTGTCACTGCTACTGTTAATGTCACCATTGTTGTCACTGCTACTGTTAATGTCGCCATTGTTGCTACTGCTACTGTTAATGTCACCATTGTTGTCACGGCTACTGTTAATGTCACCATTGTTGTCACGGCTACTGTTAATGTCACCATTGTTGCTACTGCTACTGTTAATGTCGCCATTGTTGCTACTGCTACTGTTAATGTCGCCATTGTTGCTACTGCTACTGTTAATGTCGCCATTGTTGCTACTGCTACTGTTAATGTCACCATTGTTGTCACTGCTACTGTTAATGTCACCATTGTTGTCACTGCTACTGTTAATGTCACCATTGTTGTCACTGCTACTGTTAATGTCACCATTGTTGTCACTGCTACTGTTAATGTCGCCATTGTTGTTACTGCTACTGTTAATGTCGCCATTGTTGCTACTGCTACTGTTAATGTCACCATTGTTGCTACTGCTACTGTTAATGTCACCATTGTTGCTACTGCTACTGTTAATGTCACCATTGTTGTCACTGCTACTGTTAATGTCACCATTGTTGCTACTGCTACTGTTAATGTCGCCATTGTTGCTACTGCTACTGTTAATGTCACCATTGTTGCTACTGCTACTGTTAATGTCGCCATTGTTTGTTGTCACTGCTACTGTTAATGTCACCATTGTTGCTACTGCTACTGTTAATGTCGCCATTGTTGCTACTGCTACTGTTAATGTCACCATTGTTGCTACTGCTACTGTTAATGTCGCCATTGTTGCTACTGCTACTGTTAATGTCGCCATTGTTGCTACTGCTACTGTTAATGTCGCCATTGTTGCTACTGCTACTGTTAATGTCACCATTGTTGCTATTGCTACTGTTAATGTCACCATTGTTGCTACTGCTACTGTTAATGTCGCCATTGTTGCTACTGCTACTGTTAATGTCGCCATTGTTGCTACTGCTACTGTTAATGTCACCATTGTTGTCACTGCTACTGTTAATGTCGCCATTGTTGCTACTGCTACTGTTAATGTCACCATTGTTGCTACTGCTACTGTTAATGTCACCATTGTTGTCACTGCTACTGTTAATGTCACCATTGT